GTTGAAGGGGGGAAAAAAAAGGGGGGGGAATGGGGAGGAGAAGAGAGGGGGAGAATGGGGAGGAGGAGGTGGTGGTGGTAGAAGAGGGGAAGAAAGATGAGGAGAGGGCAGAAGAGAAGAAGGAGGAGGTGGCGGCGGCGGTGATCGAGGAGGAGAAGGAAGAGGAGGTGGAGAAGAAGGAGGAAGACGAGAAGAAGGAGGAAGACGAGAAGAAGGAAGAGGAAAAGAAGGAGTAAGCTGTGGGATACGTTTATTGTGAGGGGTGTTTGCGATAACGGCTTGATTCTTTTTTCTCTATGAGGGATACCTAGGTATAAAAAACGGTACCGGCAATTTTGTATTTCCATTTTTCTTTGGACATGTTTAGGAACAAATTTGATGTGCTATCAATCACTCGGTTGCAGATGCCGATTGAGCACTTCAAAGTGCTTGCAGTGCGGTCTGTGGATATGTAAGACGGCAAAATACAACCCGTTCCTCGATGCATGTAGGAAACGATGCGAAATACTACCAGCAGACTCTGAATCGATACATGACTCTTGCTGGCTATGCAAAAAATGTAGCTCCATCCAAAAAACAAAAGTTCGAGCCAACGTCGAGAGGCGCTAGCCCCACTCAGGGGTAAAGTAAACAAGCCCCTGTCGACTCTTACCTCTGACCAAACAACTCGGATGAAAGCCAGTGGGTGAGAACTACCTTTTTTGACGCTTCCTTGTCCCAGTCTTTCACGAATTCACTCTAACGGATGGTTATGCTGTATTCTTAAAGATATTCTCTCGTAATGCGGTGCGAAGATACTGAGAACTGGCCGTGCAAAGCACCCAAAGTAGCAATGCATACCTCTCTCAGACATATTCGGAGCTTGGACAAGTCTGTGGACATATTTGTATTCTGGCCAGGACCTGCTTCTCTGCTGGCAGTCAAGATGTTTCTGAAGCAAAATAAATTTGCAGTGCAAGTAAGCATCAAACAGCTCTTCTTGCTATTATATATGGTGCGATAAACTCTGTTTTGGTGGTATCAAAAGGCACGCTGATCAATCTTACGGAATTATACATGCTATCCGCCCCTTACACCCCTCCAACATCAACTGCAAACACTCACTGCCCCGAAGACCCGGTACTACTCGCCGCGCTCAACGGCCTCGGCGGCGGAACAGGCCCAGCATTATCCCCATCATCACTCCTCTGCATCGGCACCCCGCCCACAAGCGACCGCACCAAGTTATGTGGCGTCATTGTAGACGGCGGCGCTGGCGCAGGAGGTGGAACCCCATCCCCTTCTTGATCCCCGCCGTCCTCGTCGTTGCCGGTGATGTCTCCCAGCTCGGCATGTGCAGCCGCCAACTGCGCCGCTTCTGCCGCCAGGTTCTCGGCCGCTATCTTCTGCATCTCCAGCAGCCTCTGCTTCTCAGCCACATCCACTAGGTCATCGTCGTCACTCCAGTACGGATCGTCATCTGCCAAGTGTGGCATCGCCATCCGTTTCCAGAACCTCAACTCCTGCCTCATCGCCTTCATCTCGACCCTCTTCTCCCACCTCTTTTCGTCCTCGTCGTATTTCTTCCGGAAATTCCTCAGCTTCTCGTTCGCGGCGCCGGCGTGGGCCTGCATCTCCCAGATTTGTTCGCGGAGCCTGGAGTTCTCCGCGCGGGCATCGGCTAGTTGTTTGCGGTAGGACTTGTGCCAGGTCGAGACGTCGCTGACGTGCTTGGCTTTGTATTCGTGGAAGATTCGGAGCATGGAGGACATTTTCTCGGCGAATTGGTGGAGGAGGAAAGCGTTTTGGTCACGCGAGTATCTGGCTTTCTCGAAGGCTTCTGAGAGGACTGATATGTAGGTGTCGAGGTCTGCTTCTTGGGCTGGAGAGGGAGGGGTTAGCATGTTGGTTGAGTTTGTAAAGGAATACAAAATGGGGAGATGTACCCTTGATTTCATCCGCTGACAGGTTGATCAGCTCTTCGTTTCCTAGCGACTGTGACCTCGCCCGTGCGCGAATACGGCCGACGCAAGAGATGACTTCTTCGAGAGTGCGCTGGTTTTGGGCGAGCTGTCCGCTGAGAGTGTCGACCATGTTGTAGATAAAGGTCAACTCGGATGCCTGGCCGGCTGGTATGGGGACGCCAACCATGGCTCCCTGCATGTTGGCGCCGTTCATGCCGTTCATGGCTAGGAGCTGCTGTTGATGCTGTTGCTGCTCGTAGAATTGGATCTGTTGCTGGTATTGAAGCTGTAGCTGTAGTTGTAGCTGCTGTTGCTGTTGTTGCTGTTGCTGTTGCTGTTGCTGTTGCTGTTGCTGTTGCTGTTGCTGTTGCTGTTGCTGTTGTTGCTGGTGATGCTGCGAGTATTGCGACTGCTGGAGGAGGGATGGTGGAGCTGGAAAGTCCATGGTGGGTGGTGAGCGTTGCGGCGCTTGGGTGTCAAACTTATTTGATCCACTAAACAGCTGGGGGAGCGCCCACTGCAGCAATTAGATTAGCGTGTGTGGCAGGGGTGTTCCTAGCCCAGCAGTGGCTACGTTGGATGGACTTCAAGCAGTTCTTCTGTGCATGCGATAATAACATTATTTTTCCTCGTTGAGGTGAAAGTGAAAATAAGATAAATGCAGCTCCTCTTAGAAAGAAGTTTCTTGCATGTCGGTTTGCATTTCTCGGGCCGCAGGGGTTCATTGGACGCCCTGACGCGGGTGCGCTTCAAAGACATCCATATATGTCGGTAGACAGCCGCACACCAGCAGCATATCCAGATTTCATATTCCTCTGGCCGGGCTCTCTCCTGGATATCCAGATATGAATATCAAGTTTAGGAGCCATCTTATTGCCCAAAAATCGCAAAGGCCTGAATCCTCAACCTAGTTGTAAACTTCAAGATACATACATGCCAGCTTCACGGGTTAGGGTTGGCTGTCTGTCTTTTCGGTCAGATAGTGGGGCGCGGTCCAAGCTCTAGGTTCAAGGTTGTGGTTCTCACTCTCACTCTCACTCTCACTCTCATTCTCCTGCTTCATTCCAATTTGCCCTTCCCACCAAGATCATCTTTCATGACTGCTGCCGAGCCAGTCAATTTCTGATGATATTGCAATCACTCACCGTGATATAATTTACAACTAACCCAGTTGAAACTCCGCGATCTAAGTTCAATTAATACGTTGCTCTTCTCCTCGCAATCCTGAACACTACGCCTCGCTCCCTATAAGATTCAGGTGGTGAAAGCCAACCGCAATTCAAAATGACAACTCCTACTCCAATGAAACATGCTCTTTCACAGCAGGGCAAGACTCCCTCCCAGTCACAACACGGCGCTGTTGGGACTCCCCCAGTCTCGACTCCGTTCTCCGCCGCCCATGCTGCCAGTGCCTTCTCACCACACGGTCCACGATCCTCACCACAGCAAGTCAAAAAATCACCCGCGACTACTCTTGGTGGTCATCCTTCCGTACCAGCCGTAAACTTCGACAGTCCATCAGCCGCAGCTGCTCTCAGCGCACTCAACATGGGCTCCTTGGACTCGGGCCTTTCAGGCTTCCTGGGCAAAACTTCAGAGGATGAACGAGCAAAAAGGCTGGATGCTATGATCGATATCCTAAGTGTACGGCCCATATGCCTCTTTCTGCTATTCTATTTTTCTGACCTGCAGCATAGCAAAGAAAAGGCCTCGTCAGCGAAGCCGGCCTGGAGCGACTGGCCAAAAGACTCGGCCTGGAAGTATTCTGGGACGCGCCTGTCGGCAACGAAAAGAAAAAGAGCCTGATTATAGCTGGAGCAGCCCTGGAGCTCTCTATCGACTTCCAAAAAGACATCGTGCTGTCCCTCAGTCTCAACTTCCCCGAATCAGCCGACATCGTCAGCAAGCACGCCGCGGCAGCCGGTGAAATCCTTCTCAAGGATTTGCAGTTGGAAGACGGCCAGCTCCCCCTAACCAAGTCTCTCGCCGGATTTGCGGACAACTTTGAAAGGCTCGCCATGCTAGACAAACTCAGCCTGAACCCTGGACTTAATTTGTACGAGGCCGTGGCTGGGGTCTACGAAAGTTTACTTCGCCTACATCATTGGGAAATGCAAAAGCTGAGAGAAGAGCCGGCCTTTGCGGGCAAACGAGATTTCGAGATCGAGTGTCTCGCGCTCTGCACTAGAAGTGGCAGACCAACGATGAACTCGCGCCGCAAGACAGGTCTGAGCCTAGATTATTGGAAGCAGGGCAGAAATTTCAAGAGCGAAACCCCAGAGCAAACCGCCGAGATGATCGACAACAGCAAAACATGGAGTCTCCTCATCGGATGCACCTCTCTAAACCCAAACAACCCCGTCAGCCCAGTACGCATCTCTGACAAATGGATCAGTGTGGACGTTGAGAGGATGCCATTGCCGGATGAGTTGGGCCCTGTCGTTGACTGGCTCGACCCGCCCCCGACCTATCTTCCAACCCCCGAGGATGAGAAATCAGATCCAGGGGTTCTGCTCCACGCCCCACGTCTTCCTGAAGCCGTGTTTCAAGCCATCTTCGACCCTCCCATTCACATATCCGCCGATCTCTGGGACAAGATACGGCAACTCGGCGTTGGGGTGGTGGACAGCGCCCCCGAAAAGCTGACCACCTTTGACAACTTGGTACTCCCCCAGGCGCCCAACACTGGCAATCTTAAGAGCAGCGACCAAGCCAACGCCGAAGCGAGGACCACAGTATGCCACAAGAAGATCCCCAACTTTCCGCACCCCAACGAAAGCGAGGAGGTGCAGATCATGAACCACACGAATACTCTCTACGTCTACGAGCCAGTCTATGGCAAGACTCTTACCGAGCTCACCTTTTCTCACCCTCAACACCTGGTGATGATGTTGCCCCATCTTCGGCAATATGTCTTTTTGTCGATCCTGCTGGAGAACAGCTTCGAGAAGGACGCCGGCACAAATATCACGTTCAGCTCGACGAAAGTATTGCCAACGACTGTCGGGGACGGAACTACAATGACCGAAACTAACATGGATGAGTTTTCTGGCTTCATGCAGTCCGGCTTGAACGGGGGTTCCTCTGCTGGCATCAGGCAAGAGGATGATGCCGCGGCCGAAACCGAACGGGGAGCGAATGAAACCGGGAAGAAGCTGGACTTGAACATTGATGTTACTCTCACCATCCTTCCGGTTCCGCGTCTTCAGATTGTGTTCCCGTTCAGTGAGAACAAGACGGCGAACATCCTCCTCGAGATTAGGGAGAATGGGCATGTCCATGTGGAGGCGCAGAATGTGCTGGATGAGGGGAACATGATGGGGAAGAATGGGAGGACGAGGAGGGTGGAGGATATTGGGTTGGTGTTGGAGGCATTGGAGGATATTGGGAAGTGGGCGAACTTTCTGGTGACGAGGTGGGGGAATTAAGGGGGGGTGTTGTTGTGCTGGGTGTTTAAGGGGAAAGGCACAGCTTTGACTGGGTAGCAGGATAGGACCAAAGCGCGCCGCAGCATGTAATAGAGCTGTTCGTGGCGAATCAGCAAGATGTTCCATCAAGTTGGCTTGTGATGTTTGATGCCGATTGTGATAGGGAGGGCTTACCCTATTGGGGAGGCGAGCGCATACCTAACCGGGCGAGTGTTGCGTAAGGGGCGGACTTGAGGGTGTGATGCGTTATGGGGCAGAGCAAACACAAGTTCTTAACTTGTGGTGATGCTGTGTGGTGAGGACTAGAAATCAGGGGCCAACCGAGAGAATAATAGGAAGGGGGACTTGTGTTGGTATACAGTAGCTATGGCCGCGTCACGGTAGTTATGGCCGCGTCACCAGAGGTATGCTGTTGGTGATAATCTGGGCCTTCCCCCTTTTTTTACCTCTTGGTGTAGCAAAATACTATGGGGTCATCCCGATATTCCAACCTTCCAGGAGTTTGGGCGCCGAGCATATAAGTTGAGAGGAAGAACACCCAAAGGAGAGAGTTGTCCCCAGCATCACCGAGACAGGCTTTCACAACACAGCTACCTTTGTCACAATCAAGCTACTTAAAGAGCATCCAAAATGCGCGCCTTCACCACCCTCATCATGGCTCTCAGCCTCGCAAGCAGCACCATCGCCGCTCCTGCGTCTTCTGCTCTCTCGCCTCTTGTCAGGGACGCTCTCGCCAACGACGAATGCCTCTACCTCTGCACCTGCGCCGACTCTGTCGAGCAGAGCAAGGAGTGCTGTGTTGCTTCTGGGGGAAGGTTTGATGAGTCTATTGGCGTATGTATTTCTCCTGCCGGGGTGCCTCATGCGGTTGCTAACAGGTGATGTTTCTGATAGTGGTGCGCCGATATGAATAATACCACGGCTCATGATTACACCCAGTGCTGTGGGGGGGTTTATGGTTGTGGGTTTGGTTTTGGATGCCCGGCTCCTGGTCAGTGGTAGGGAGTTGATATGGGGTAGCTGAAGGGAGTTGGTGATGGTCATAAGGATTGACAGTGATGGAAGCTCATGGTGGGAGATCTTTGGAGTGTGAGGTTCTGATGGTGATAGACGGTGATGGTGGAAATTCCGGTTCGTTGGTAAGAGTTAATTGGGGGCCCCCGGGGAATATCTAGCTAGTTTCGTTTCGGTACACACCTGCCTAGGTACAAATAGGAATCTAGAGGATTATCTCTTGTGATGTCGAATGAACCGAGAAAAGAGGAATATAAGACAGGTAAAGCTGGTCTTCAAACGTGGCGTGTAGTCAGGCTGTCAATTAATATCCATGTTTACACTCCTCGTTACACAAAGATTATGTAGTTGAAATGTTGCTGCAGGGTCCATGTTTTCAACCTTGCAACAAACACTCCAACCAATGTGATGAGGCCAAGTTCATAGGCAGCAGTATAACTTCGGTCTCCGTATCTCGGCCCAGTCTTACCATTCGTCCAACAAGAAGACTCTGGCTTTGTAGACGTCATCGAAAGCTGATCCGCTTCCTCGACACACTACCTCGTAGGTCTTAACATCTCATCATCTGCCCACAGTGTCCACTAGGTGCGTTTTCCTTCCTTGCAGAATACTTTTACCATCATGGATGCCGGCATAACGCACAAGCTTAACTACCACGAATACAACATGCGCGTCTCCGCTACCTTGCTTTTCTCGTTGGCCGGTTTGGCCAGCACCACCACCGCCCTTCATGTCCCTGACTTCCTCTGGTCGATAATCGACAAGATTGATCGCAGGTGCCAGTACGACTGCTGGTGTGCTGAGGATGATCTCTCTGCTCAGTGCTGTGCCTCCACTGATGGGACCTTCGATGATAATCCAACCCCTGTATTTCTACCATGAATGAGGAGTGGATGGCTTGCTGACATTGAGGCAGACCTGCGTCAAGATGAACCTCACTGGCGCTACGACGTTCGCAACATGCTGCGGGAGCAAGAACGGCTATGGGTGTTCGCAGAAGACGCGTTGCCCTAGGCCTGATGGGGGCAATAGCTATGTAGACAGGGGCCCTCACTGGAGATGTACGGTTATGAAGTATGACATTGCAATGCCCGAGACTGCAGTTGTCGGCAATGGTGGAGAGAGTCTTCCTGTTAGGGAGTTGGTGTAGGTTGAGGGTCAACCTGAGAGCCTTGAATTGGTCCCAACAACATGAAGTTCTGGGGGCTTAAAGAAGATAGCGTCTGAATGCAATCGATAATTCCATACGATTCGCATCATGGGACTCAAACCTGCAGGGTTTGCATGCTCTTTGGTTCTGCAGATTGCTCGCTCCGCTCTAAAGGCCGCGTCACCAACTGCCAAGTGCCATCACAAGAGCCATGCACTTGATGATGTTTCTGCCCATTTCTCGGATAATAAATGGGAATTGATGACGGAAACAAAAACCTGAAGAGTTTGTAATGAGCTGCCGAATCGTAGTCGAGGTCTTAAAGCACTCTTACTAACCCTTAGAGAGATCGCTGAGAGCGTTGCTTATGCCTATGCTGTATGTGATGCCACAATAGTCTCTTTTCCTTTGTCCGGGTTTGCAAAAGTACCTGGTCGCATCATCACTACTACCTGCCAAGTAAACAGGTAGGAATTTACAGTATATAGAAGCAGGGGTAAAAGACCAACAGCTTTCGGAGGTATTGTTTCCATCGCTGCTTAGAGACAACTCGAGATATATATCGACAAACAGCTCTGCCTTCCCTCTCATAAGTAGGTAAGTAGGTAGAAAAAGATCATCAAAACTCAACTCAAGCCAAAAGATCTACCCACAATGCGCACCTTCACCACTCTCCTCTTGGTTTTGACCGCCGCCACCGCCATCACCGCTCCCTCCCCCAACGCCATCAGATCCCCGAACCCGCTACCAGCTCCAATGACCGGTGATTGCTTCTACAGCTGTGGGTGCTCCAGAGACGTTGACCCTTCGAAATCGGCCACGTGCTGCGCTGCCATCGGTAACACTCTGAATTGGCAGCAGGTATGTCTTACCTCTTTCATGCCTCACCCAGTCTCGCAGGTCCCAACACTTTACCTTCAGCTTTGCCCCGGCACGAACCATGATCACGCCTTGGCCTTTGTGACCTGCTGTGGAGGGGCCGATCCTGGGTTTGGCTGCCAGCAGAGGATTGGATGCCCGGTGCCGGATGAGAACTGGCAGTGAGGGGTGGTTGCGGTGGGAATACGGTGTTGGAGATGGGGATAAAGTCGGATGTCACCGGGGTGTGTTATATACCTATATATTTGATAAATAAGCAACAATACTTTTGCTCATCTCACTGCCTAAGGGTACGTACCTTAGACAAATGCTTGTGTGGAGTGAAGAAGCTGTTCGGAAAGCCAACATTTCGAGCAGGAAAAGCTCAGGCGGCAGATTGAGAAAGGCTCAAAATACCTACCGAAAAAGAAGTGTAATGTCCGCAAACGTCAACTTCAGATGAACAAGAAGAGTACAAGATGCTCGGCTGAAATTCGTCTGCCGACGAATCGCGCTCGCAGGCGAGAATCGTGCCAACATGTGGCGACGCTGAACTGTTGCGAAACGCCAGCGAGAGAGAGAGAGATAGAGACAGAAGATTGCCCGCCTATTCGCCTTCTGGCGAGCCTCCTTGGGGTTCATGCTGTCTCCTTCTGTTCCTTCATCCTCTCCTCCCCCTACTCGAAAATCTGATCGACGGAAGCAGGCTACCAGGCACGTCGCACACGGATCCGTTGCGCCTCGCTTGCTTGCGATGCCACGGGCCAGTTCTCATTTCTTCGATATTTTGGCTGAAGCACTCGAGGCTCGCGAACGCTGGTATGAGAATGCTCGGACGATGAAGCTGGGGGGCAAGGAAACCGAGCTTGAGGCTAGGATGACTTTTGTTCCTTGCTTTCTCAGTGTCAGTTACTAAAGCATGCAAGCAAATCTTGGTGTAGTGACCCTCGTCTTATGGGCTGTTGGAAGCACATCTGTACTGTTGAAGCACGCTGCGATTGTTTATGATAGTCAACATTTAGAGCTTCGCGCCCTGAGCAAGGTCCTTCCCAGCGCCATAAACAATCGCCTGATCGAGCTTCAATCCTCCTTCCCTTGCCCTCTTCCCCGGCGCCTCATAAACACTGAAACCCTTCTTCTCCATAAACCTAGCACACATGGCCTCAATCTCAACCCCCAGATCAGCCTCAGCATCAACCAAGTACAGCACCGAGATGATAATCTCCGCAATCCTAAACACCAACCCCCTAGCCTCAGGCAACAGTTCCTCCTGGTTGCCCGTATCAATCTTGTTCTTCAACACTTGCCATTCCTCCACCAACCCTGCATTCTTCGACGACAGAATCAGCCAATCCAAAGCTTGAACTGACTGCTTCCCGCTCAGGGGGTGCTTCAAAGCACGAAGCGTATCACTAGCCAAGACATCAGTCGTCCCCTCCCAAATAGCACCAACGCAGCAATCACGGAACAGTCTAGAGATATTGAGATGCTCAGACTCGACATTCTGCATGTATCCTACCCCTCCCAGCGCTTCCATGCAGCCGTACACCAGTGGGACAGTTGTCTCGCAGACATAGGACTTGTGAAGACTGGACAATACCCTGAGTAAAGGCTGGACCAACTCCTTAGGTGGAGTCGGGACCTTTGTCGCCGCTTGGTTGGAGGGAAGAAACCGCTCATCCAGACCGAGAGCGTGGATTGTGTAAAACGTCAGCAGCATCATACCGTGGTAGTCAGTCGTCATGTTGGCCAGTGTTCTCATATGCAAAGGGTGCGACGACAAGGCAATTCGCTTGCCTTTGCCCATTCCGACGGGGCGGACAAGGGCAAAGGACCGGGCGATGCCGAGCGAACGCCCAAGGTAGCCCATGGAAGAGACGGTAGTGTGCACGCGGGTGATGTTGAGGATGGTGCTGATTTCCTGGATTCCTTTGCCCTCCTCGCCAATAAGCCAACCTCGCATACCCTTGAGCTCGAGCTCTGCTGTAGGGAGGGATTGGGTGCCGAATTTGTGCTTGAGACGCTGGATGGTGATACCGTTGAGTTCGGTGCCGTTTCCGCTTTCGCCCGTGTGGGAGACTAGGGAAGGGTTATCGCGGCGCATGGGGGCGAAGAAGGCGGATACGCCCTTGGAGGGATGGGTTCTGGCGAGGAGAATGGTCATGTGGGAGTCGGTGGCTGATGAGAACCACTTGAAGCCGGAGATGGACCATGGGCCGAGGGGGATGGATTCGGACTGTGATGCCAAGGGGACTGGGGCTGAGGAAGGAAAGGGGTCGTAAGTGGCTACGGTTTCTGTCTGAGATACGTCACTGCCGCCAGTTCGCTCGGTCATCCATTGGCCGCTGGTCCATATTTTGGTTGGGTCACGGGAGGTTAGGTGGCTGTAGGCATTCTGAAAGACCTCACGTTCAATCGGCGAGAGTTTCTTCGCGGCGGAAGTGAACAGATGACGTTGAAGGAGACGGGCCGCGCCATCTTGCATAGCCGCTGGGCAGAGGGTATTGGCGCATGATGCTTCCCAGAGGTGGCACCGCAAAAACTGGACAAGGCGAGTGTAAGGGCCGTGGTCAGTGTCGTAGTTCAAAGCAACGACTCTGCGATGGCATTAGCACGGCAACCCGGCATGTAGGTCTTGTAGACGTTTACCCCTTTTTGAAGCCATAGTCTTGAAGCTTTCGCCATCCCTCGCCAACAACCAGCTCGCTTTTGGGCTTGCCGAATGAATCCCGGCCATTTCCGCGCAGATATGGCTGGTTATGCTCGGCGTCAGTTACCCAATCGAAGACTTGCTGAGACAAGACCTCTTGGCCGATCTGAGCAGCATCGGGTGTGATTTTGTCAAGGATATCCGATGGCAGGAATACTATCAGCTGTTAGTGATTTTGTGATGAAAGTTCCTACAGGGAAGCATACATCTGGCTACTCTTTGGTAGCTCACATCATCATAGAACTGGTTGTTGATCACGGGCTGTTGCTGGATAAAACCAGTATTCGAACTTGAAGGCTCCATTGTAACGGTGGGTACGTGTTCGTTGAGATAAAAAAGACTGCAGTAGATGATGTGAAATCACATTTTGAATACCAGCAGAACGTATTCGCTATTTACGTCAAAAGCAGGCGGACCACGAGCCTCGGCCTTGAACTGGATGTTGTTCCTGTCTTCTCAGTGGTTGGTTGACCGGGATTCCGTCCCATCCTGCCCCTGTAAATCCGGGGATGGTGGGTTCATGGGCGGAAAGAGGCCGCTGTCAAAGAGTGCCAAGATTTGCGGGGGACGAGCAAGTTACGGGGAGAGGGTTGGGGTTGGCTTTGGAGCTGTGTGTTGGATGTTCAACAAAGCAGTTGTGGTGATGACTCTCATGTCGGAAAAAGGTAGGAAATACTCTAAGTTTACGCATAGTATCAAAATGAAGCTTCGAAATAGTAGCAGAAAAGACCATCTACTGGTAGCAACTACTCTGGACCGTGTCACTCACTGTCCAGTGAAAACCCAGAGGTGGTCACGTGCTCACGTTCCATTGTCGCGCAGCCTTTTGTCTGTGCTGCCTTTCAAACCGCGTCAGGCTCTCCAACTCACTTACAGCGTCCAATTCCGGATATTCTCCCACGGGCAGGCAGAACGAGTGGCAACATGCAAAATCGCCGCGCAAATGGATGGCGATGAGATTGAGATTTCCGATGACGACCTTACAGCCTCTTCGGTTGATGGAGACCAGCCCGCCGTCACAAACTCTCTTGGGAAGCGCAAGTCACCGGTCCCACCTGAGCTAGAGGAAAGGGTCGTTTGGACAGATGATCCCGATGATGGGACAGCGCTCAACCAGCCACGGGCAACTAAGCGTCGTGCCACTGCCGCAACCACTGGCGGCAGGGGAAGGGGAGGGCCAAGGGGGGCAGGACGAGGGGGAGGGGTCAGGTCTGAAAGGAAGAGGACCATTAAAATCGAAGATCCGGGGACACAGCAGGAATATGAAGAGGCAGAGGTGCCCGCGTACTTACAGCAGCGAAGGAGGCGCTTCGACAGAGACAGGGAACAGCTTAAAGCCGGAGGACTCAAGATACCACCAGATTATTCGGAACTGTATTTTTCGGACGACGAACGCCAATTCCAGCATGCAGAAAGGCCACAATTTGACGAAAGGAGCGGAATCAAACCATGTCGTCCTAAAAAGCAGATTGAGTTGGAGTATTCAGCCGGCATCATCCCAGCTTCGATCGCCCAGTACCTGCGTGACTACCAAGTCGAAGGCGTACGGTTTCTTCACCAGAGATTTATCTACCAGAAAGGCTGCATTCTAGGCGATGACATGGGTCTGGGAAAAACGGTACAAGTGGCCGCATTTCTCACAGCCGCATTTGGGAAAACTGGAGACGAGCGTGATGCGAAGCGGATGAGAAAAATGCGAAGAGCAGGGGGCTGTTGGTACCCAAGAGTCTTGATTGTTTGTCCTGGATCACTGATCCAGAACTGGAAGAACGAGTTGAACCGCTGGGGCTGGTGGCATATCGACCTATTTCATGGCGTTGGGAAAGAAGACGTACTAGGTGCGGCCAAAGCAGGGCGGCTTGAGGTTATGATCACGACCTACATGACCTACAAGAACAATTGCGACGCTGTCAATGCTATCGACTGGGATTGCGTGGTTGCCGACGAGTGCCATCAGTTGAAAGACAGGCGGTCTGAAACGACAAGGGCCATGGGTCGCGTTAACGCGATGTGCCGGATAGGCCTTACAGGAACGGCCATCCAAAACAAGTACGAGGAGCTGTGGACGCTGTTGAACTGGACAAACCCGGGCCGTTTTGGAACTTTGGCCGAGTGGACCACCACCATCACCAAGCCTTTGACTGTCGGGCAATCTCACGAGGCGACCCTCAAACAGCTTAGTCTCGCCAGGACAACAGCAAAGAAGCTGGTGCACAACCTGCTGCCCGACTACTTTCTCCGCCGGATAAAGACACTTATCGCTGACCAGCTTCCGAAAAAGTCGGATAAGGTGGTATTTTGTCCCTTGACAGATATTCAGAGCCACGCCTATCAAAACTTTATCGACGGTGATCAGGTTCAGTACATCATATGCGCATCGGAACCTTGCCCGTGTGCATCTGGACGAAAACAGGGGTGGTGTTGCTACAAGATTCTCGAGGATGGGAGGCCTTGGAAGAGTCTTACCTTTCCATGCCTCACGACACTTCAGAAAATTGCCAACCACCTTACACTCCTTCTACCATCTTCAGCGGACCCAAACGACAAGCAAAGTACGGAGCTCAGCACTCTCCGCACCTGCATCCCCGATGGATGGGAGAAACTTTGGCAGGAGCGAGATTCGATGCTCAGTCTTGCCAACCCAGAATTCTGCGGCAAGTGGAAGGTTTTGAAGAAGCTCCTTCAGTTCTGGCACAGCAATGGCGACAAGGTCCTCGTCTTTTCTCACAGCGTGAGGCTACTGCGGATCCTCCGGCACCTATTCAACAATACAAATTACAATGTCAGCTTCTTAGACGGCTCACTAAGCTACGAGGAGCGCCAGAATGTGGTGGATGAGTTCAACACAGACCCTGCTCAGTTTGTCTTTCTTATTTCGACTAAAGCTGGTGGCGTTGGCCTGAACATCACCTCAGCCAACAAGGTTGTCATCTTTGACCCGCACTGGAACCCTGCTTACGATCTCCAGGCCCAAGACCGAGCTTACAGAATTGGTCAGATCCGCGATGTGGACGTGTTCCGACTGATATCAGCTGGAACCATCGAGGAGATTGTCTACGCTCGCCAGATCTACAAACAACAACAAGCCAACATTGGATACAACGCATCCAACGAGAGGCGTTATTTCAAAGGCGTCCAAAAGGACAGCACTCGAAAGGGCGAGATATTCGGGCTCGGCAACCTCCTTAGCTACCACCCCGACCAGGTCGTTCTCCGAGAGATCGTCAACAAGACCAACGTTGCCGAGGCCAAGGCAGGTGTCCTGCTCAGCGATATTGACCTGGAGAAGTTGGCAAAGGACAAAGATGACGAGATCAACCTCGTCAAGCAGGAGGACGACAGCGACGAGACGGGCATGAGTCAGTTGGCAAAGCTCATCACGATTGAAAACAAGGAGGACATGCTCAAGAGCCGCAAGACGCAGAAACCACAGAGCGATGCCGTCGCCGCCATTTTGGCTTCTGCCGGGGTTGAATACACGCACGAGAACTCGGAAGTGGTTGGCACCAGTCGCGTGGAGGAAAAGCTATCACGAAGAGCAGAGCTTGCCGCCAACAAAGACAGCCAGGAATTGGGAGGCGACCGCGCATTATTTGCAGATAGCCAGGCCAACAGTGTTCCCGATACCGACAGCGTGTGGAAAGTCCACTACAAGTTCAACCCGCCGGCAGCTGCAATGAGACGGCAGTTTTGTTCGATGGCAAAAGAGTTTGGGTTTGCGAATGCGACTGGTTTTGCGCTGGTGGTCGAGAGCTGGACACAGGAGCAGAGACGAAACTGCCTGGAGACATTCTATCGGTCGAGGGAGGCGAAGCTTTTGGAGAAGGAGCTGGACGAGCTAAGGGTCATTGAGGCACAGGAGCAGCCATCGCCATCGATTGTTAGTATAGAAGATGACGCTGTCATGGAGTATGGTGCTCAGCTGGAGGGGGTCATGAGAAAGGGAGAAGGCAACGGTCCCGTTGTACATGAGGACGCTGGGAATACCCTTCCTGCCCCGCCGAGGCCGACGATATTTCTTTCTGACAACGATGAGGATGATGAGCTTTGAGATTGAGATACCCCCGAATCATGAGCATGGTTTTTTGTTCAGAGTCCAGACAGAAAGTTTGTGACTGTTCCAATTCGGTTTCAGGTGCCTGGGGTGAACCTCAACGGCCAGGACCCAGCAGCACTAGACATGTGCTTTCTCGTGGCTTGAGTGCTGCATGTGATGGCCGAGCACCGTTTCGAGACGGAGCTTGGTCGGCGCCCCGTCGGTCCCAGACGGCTACAGCGGAGGAGCTCGTTGTCGCTGGGCCGGGCTGAAGTGGCAGCTGACATAAAGTTGACCGAGGTCGAAGCGGTCCAAAGGGGAATGGCCAATCACGGAGATATTGGCGAGCCGCGAAAGGTGGGGCAGTCGAAATGTTACAGCCAGGTACGAGTCCGTTTGTAACCTATGACGCATCTTCACATGCCATTGATGGGCCCAGCAACCAGCAACAGTCGGACGCAAACAGCGGGGGGAGGTTTCCAGAGGCAAAACAGCAAGACACATCAACAAAACGAGCAGAAAGTCAATTGATTCACGTCTGTCTGGCCACGCGACCAGTGCCAGTGGGAGGCACTGGGAGGGAAATAGCCCAAAATAATAAAGGAACCAGACTTTTTTCAGAATTGATGATTGCGCCCAGCCTTTGACTGACGTTTTCCAAGACGCAGATCTCCAGCCATTTTCCATGAAAATTTACAGTGGCTCAATTGTGGGGGAGGGGCCGCTGAAAGGGCGCAACAGGCCAATCGCAACGCCTGAATTCCGGCAGCGCTCAGCAGCATTGGCCCCGGCATCGGTTCGGCAATTCGGTCAACGGCGGTGCGGCTTGCATCCATTCGTGGAGTGTGGGGTCGTTGTTGGGGAAATAGTGGGACTTGCGGCGAACATGGCTCGGCTCAAAGGATTCTGACATGACACTCGATGCGGGCATGTTTTGTACGTCGTTGTCGTCACGGCAAACAATGGGAAGAGGTTAGCGAGTTGATGACTTGTGGTGATGATGGCCAACGCTCTGAACACTAACACAAAAGAAAACCGACAGACTCGACCGTTTGTGACCGGTCCGTTCCTTGTATCCGTGGAACAGCCACGCGAGCAAGAGTCAGTTGACGACCATGTCCCCAGACCCGGATTGAAGGTATGGAAACGAACGTGGGGAACAGGGGCAATGACTACATCCCCTTCTGGCTACTTTGAGTAGCCGCTAGACCGATCTCTCCCGACGCCCACACCAATGTCCGCTGCCTCAGCCCGGTAACCCCTCGTCCCTTTCTTTGCGCCCCTTGTTCCGATAAGCCTTCTTGGAAGCCGCCGGGGAGATACATTAGTCGTCTGCCTCCTCCTAATTCTTCCTCGGCTGGTTATACTTTTCTTGCAGTTGTTTGTCTTATACCCCCTTTTTTCCCTGCCATCCCACCCACCACCATATCCCATACACAAGGGCTCTGATATCACCGGTTGGATTATACATAACAACAAAGAAACCGTAAACGGTCTTACATACGCCACACCCACCCATCACCAATTCTAAAAACCGCGTGCCCAACATGGCTGCCAACAACATGGTCAATCCCGCCGTGGACCCCAACATTGAGGACGAGCTCTTCGCGAAGGAGGTGGCCGAGGTCAAGAAGTGGTGGAGCGAGCCAAGATGGCGGTACACCAAGCGCCCTTTTACCGCTGAGCAGATCGTCAACAAGAGAGGCAACCTCAAGATCGAGTATGCCAGCAATGCCCAGGCCAAGAAGCTGTGGAAGATTCTTGAGGGGCGGTTCCAGGTATGTTTACTGTCATGTCAACAAAGATGACCGAAGAGCCGACGCTGACTTGACTCGAAAACAGAACAAGGATGCCAGTTACACATACGGCTGCTTGGAGCCAACAATGGTGACCCAAATGGCCAAGTACCTCGACACAGTCTATGTTTCCGGCTGGCAATCATCATCAACGGCCTCTGCCTCTGACGAGCCCGGCCCGGATCTTGCTGATTACCCTTATGTGAGTGTGGTGACATGGAGATGACGAGAGCAGCAAAATACTGACTGAACCAGACTACCGTCCCCAACAAGGTCGGCCATCTCTTCATGGCCCAGCTTTTCCACGACCGCAAGCAGCGTCAGGAGCGTCTCTCCGTTCCCAAGGCGCAGCGCGCCAAGCTCGCCAACATCGACTACCTCCGTCCCATCATCGCCGATGCCGATACCGGTCACGGTGGTCTTACCGCCGTCATGAAGCTCACCAAGCTCTTCATTGAGAAGGGTGCTGCCGGTATTCACATCGAGGATCAGGCCCCTGGCACCAAGAAGTGCGGCCACATGGCCGGCAAGGTTCTCGTCCCCATCTCCGAGCACATCAACCGTCTGATTGCCATCCGTGCCCAGGCCGACATCATGGGCTCTGACCTCCTGGCCATTGCCCGTACTGATGCCGAGGCTGCCACCCTCATCACCACCACCATCGATCCCCGCGACCACGCCTTCATCCTCGGCACCAACAACGCCGACCTCCCCGACCTCAACGAGCTCATGATTGCTGGTGAGAAGGCCGGCAAGAACGGCGCCGAGCTCCAGGCCATCGAGGACCAGTGGCTCGCCAAGGCCAACCTCAAGCGCTTCGACGACCACGTCGTGGACGCCATCCTCTCCTCCAACCTCCCCAACCAGAAGGCCCTCGCCCAAAAGTACCGCGACAGCGTCAACGGCAAGCAGCTCTCCAACAAGGAGGCCCGCGCCGTCGCCCGCGGCATCCTCGGCAAGGACATTTACTTCAACTGGGACGCCCCCCGCACCCGCGAGGGCTACTACCGTCTCGAGGGCGGCTGCGACTGCTCCATCAACCGCGCCATCGCCTACGCCCCTTACTGCGACGCCATCTGGATGGAGTCCAAGCTCCCCGACTACAAGCAGGCCGAGGAGTTCGCCAAGGGCGTCCACGCCGTCTGGCCCGAGCAGAAGCTCGCCTACAACCTGTCTCCCTCTTTCAACTGGAAGACCGCCATGCCCAGAGAGGAGCAGGAGACCTACATCAGACGCCTGGCTGGCCTGGGTTACTGCTGGCAGTTCATCACCCTCGCTGGTCTTCACACCACCGCCCTTATCAGCGACAAGTTTGCCAGCGCGTACAGCAAGATTGGCATGAGGGCGTATGGCGAGCTGGTGCAGGAGCCTGAGATGGAGGGCGGTGTGGATGTGGTCAAGCATCAGAAGTGGTCGGGTGCCACGTACGTGGACGAGCTGCAGAAGATGGTGACTGGTGGTATTAGCAGTACGGCTGCTATGGGTAAGGGTGTGACGGAGGATCAGTTCCATTAAGGGGCGCATGAAAAGGGGTTTTCTTGTCTTTCTGATTTTGTGATAAAGCTTTTTGCGTGGTTCATTATTTTTTTGGGTAATTAGATAACTCTGAGAGTATTCGGAGAAAGAATGGATTGGATGATGAAGATGATCTTGCTGTTCGAATGCTGTGCTGGCGGTGATGTTTGCAGGTTGTCGCTAACCGCTGCTTGTGAACGGGTTTTGAAACACGTGGTTGTCCGATGTCTTCTCTTGCCGGTCTGCTTTCCTCCTTGCTTTCAGTTGACTGGCTGGTTCTGCTCGACTGCATTCCCAAATCTATTTGTTTGCCCTATCCGTCTGAGGCATATGTGTTGTGATTTGGTGACTGTCCGGGTCAGTGCTGTTCACACTCTCCTGTTTGTCTTTTTCCAGGGTCTAACTGGCTGGTTCTGTCTGGATATTCTTCCCAAGTCTACCTTAGGTAGTGTTTGTCCTGTCCGGCCAAAGCATATAATCCAACTCCTGGCCATCCGATCACCCCCCGGACATTCTTCTCCAACACCATTCTTTTCCTTCTGCATTTTCAGCAATGTGTTTGTTTTTGAACTCATAATTTCTCCATTTTCAGCCTTGCGTTTGTCTTTGAACTCGTTTCCCCCCTTCTATATATACTCAAACAACCACAAATTTTTCCTGACCTTCCCAGAGAATCAAGGTCACCTTAGCTTACCTTACCTCGTCCACCTCACACCAACCAGTTCTTGCACGCCTCCCACCTACTTACCCAACAACCACCTTCCTACCTACCTTTTCTCTCTCCCTTGCCTGAGAGAACCTCGCACCACGGGAGCATACAGACACCGCAGACACCAACCTCGCGTGTCCCCCAACGGGCTGCTGCCCTGCCACGGCAAGTTTATTGCTCGATACGCATTGGGGCTTCCTCGCCATTGGGGCTTCCTGGCCATTGGGGCTTCCTGGCCATTGGGGCTTCCTGGCCATTGGGGCTTCCTGGCCGAGGCTTTCGACAAGCCGGCCATGCCATCCATCCGGACTGATGGCGTACACGGGATCCCGGTTACCATTCCATACGCCATCACTGTACACAAATACCAAGTGGCGACTGTGAAAGGGATGAGGGGGCGCAAGACGGCTTGATGGTCCATTGTCTTTAGAAGCACATCATCATCAAGGAACGGGATGAGTTTGGTTTGGAGGATGGAAGATTCAATGGGGATGGGGGGTTGTGTGTGTGTTGTGGCGGTAGATTATTGTTGGGAGGAGGAAAATTACGGCAAGTGTTGGGAGACTGGGTGATGATTCTAATCGGGTGTGGATTCAAGGGCTTCAGGGAGCATTCAAGGAGTTTTGAAAGATCAGTTGAGGGGTGGTGATTAGAAAGTTGAGTGGTGTGAAGCTTGGCAGGCAGCTGTAGGGGAGCTTGTTGACTTGTTACTAGGGATAGGGGGTGCTGGATGCTCACTGAAAGAGGAGTATGCTATTGGGAGACAAGTATTGGTGTGTTTGGCTTGACAAATGTAACTTTCACTCCTGATTTTTTTTGGACAACCTCTTCGTGAAAAATCCGAATGGTTAGAGTCTCACGGTTTCAAGGTTGCTGTCCAAGATCAGATATGGTACAAACTTTCTGATGCCGTATGCGAGCACCCTCGTTCCAAATAATACAACATGCGTGATCGACCTGGGAGTCGAACGCTGGTTTGGCTAACCGAGACTTTGGCCGAATGTCACCTCATGACACAGTACAGACTTCCTTCGCTCAGTGCCTACAGTGTCTACGGGTGCGCTCGCTCGCGCTGCTGGGGCGGGCATAGGCTCGACAGTTTCGAGCTCGGCAATAGCCTCGATCGCTTCGATAATCTGGGCGGGAAATGCTGGGATAACAGTAACAGACACTGTGGCGGCTGTTGGGTGCTTTTCCGGTGGAGTTTTGGGGATTCAGTTTGGGCCTTGAAGTTTATCTGCTTTCTGGTTAGAGGTATTTGGATCATCGTATTCGAGATGGCACGGAGACGCGGCTGTTGAAAAGAGAAGTGTCTAGAGGATCTTGAAGTAGTTGAGGTTGTGGTGAATGAGGTACCACGGTTATTTGCAGACCTGGCAGGTAATCAAGGGCTCTATTAAAAAATGAAACTGGTAGATCAACAATGAAATAAAGGCACCTATATCTAATCATGCCGAGTCAAAAATATCAGATGCTCCACAGCCCAAATGGAACACCTGTTGCTGCCGTGTATGCCTAGAGTCTTTTGTGTCTATGCCAGTCTTCCAGCTACAAAGCTTTCAACAGGTCTGGGCTTTTGACCGGGCAATTATGTCGGAAGCTGACCACAGCTATTTACAACAAAATAATGGCCTATACCCTCACTGGCAAGATCTGGATCAAGTAATGGCGTTGGTCTGGCCAGCGTATCTCTAGGAATATCATGAATCTGCGGCTGAGGAAACTAAAGGGAAATCACACCTTCATGAAACACGAAGTCTATCCGATACTTGCGCCCACTGTATCATGAAAGACAACCCGACGGTTTAAGAACCACACACCAAATCGAATACCAAGTCTGACTTTGGCCGAGCCATTTTCCTCTCTGATTGATGCTCTTGGAAAAAATCCAGGCGACAAGACACTGCAAGAAGGGGAGACAACCCATCTCTCGAAGGGAGTGTGCAAAGAGGCAACAAGCGCACGCGGCCCAAACTACAAGCATCCGAACACCATGCGGCTCTACACATCAATCTGAACAATACGACCCGCCCAGCAGTCTTCAGCCTGATCAGTTACATCCCCAACAAATCCATGAACACCTCACACACACAGAGAATCAGTCAGCCGCCAACCCTCCCACGTTGGCCTGACTCGGATGGCAAGTAGGCGATTACACAACATCAAGGTACTGTACCTTCACATATGTACACACCCTTCTCCACTCTTTCAGAGCACCCCTTCCGGCTCATTGTGAAGTCATGGTCCGCAGGTCGTGTGGATAGAGGGGAAGCAAGAAAAGGGGCAAGCTAATCCTAGACGCAAGTCTCCGAATACCTACTGACTGTTGGGGGGGGGGGCGTTGGCTTCCGACTTCCGATGCGTACATGGGAAATCGCAACGTGGTTCCAGAACCCATTGTATCCATCATCATTATCGGCTGCTATTCCCCGTCCGTCCGGCCAGACCAAGGGGCAGCCATCATGTGTTGCCTTCCAGTTTGGTGCAAGCGTGGCGGGCAACAGCAGTATCGTACAGATACATAACGCCACGCTGCTTGACGCGGGGTCGGCGGGGAGCAGCAGTTACAATCCAAGTCTCTTACTGGAAGAGAAACTCTGCCGTGAGGGGAACAGAATGCGGGTGTTGTAAGTCGGCAAGCAGGAGAAAAGGGGGGGAATGTTGTGACCCCCCTTTGGGTCTCCATCTGACGGTCGTCTGATGTAGAGAGACTGTCATCGATATCATTTATTCGATCGGTTGAGGAGCAGGCACCCCCCGATCCGATCTTCCGCACTACACATCATCACATCGGATCATTGCCACATCATCCACCCCCTTCCCCTCGGCCATGAGGCCCGGTTGCTCTCTCCCCGGGCAGGAAAGCCGCCCTGTCTTTGTTACTTCCAAGTTGACCGCATGCATTACAACAGCGGCCACCCGTCTGACACGCAACCGGGTAGGAAATTCTCCGCAGACACCAGACCGCGAGATGAACCCCTGTGTGTCTTGAATGTTGTGCATCGAAGTGTGTGGATGGTGAACCTGGAAGAGTCCAGTTAGTGTCATCGCCGGGGACGATATGACCAGCAGATCAGAAGTTCCCATGCTTGGCCGCTGGTCGCCTTGTCAGTAGCCAAACTTGCATCCCTACCCGAACATCCGTTTGTGACTTGGGACGTGGCTTTCATCAGCTTTTCGTATGGCCTATAGGAAGGTGAAATCGGAGGATATTTTCTGCCGTTTTGTGTACCGTTTCGAGACCACAACACCACGCAACACTTGTCAATCTTAGACTTTGGCATCCCCATCGGTGGCACAGTGCCGTCTCGGTTCCAAGCCGCGCAAAGGGGGCGTAGGGCGACTTTGCCAGATGCCTAGATCAAGAGTCCGAACTGATTCCGGGGTTTGAGTGGCACAGTCATCTCGTCCGGTCTTGCAACTGGCTTTATTCGGCCGGGACTTTCAGAGATATCTCATTCTCCAGATCCAGGTTGCATGCTTGGGAATGCGCGATGGATCGATATGCTTAGGGGAGGGATGCTCAATGTGACTGTCTACCTAGTCACATACTAGAAAAACTATGTTTAGCTTCCAAAGAGTAACGCTCCACTGAGGTGCCGCACTGGGAGCGCTATCGGAGATGCCAAATGTGTTTGGGAGCCATGGCCCGAATGAATACTGGGTCGGGCTCTGTTTCCTGAAGAGAGCTGGCTGGTAGTTGAGCTTGTATCACCGAAGACGAGGAACACGGCGGAGAGTTTGTTCGGGTGGGGCCACCTGCTTGATATTCCTGTGCCTCGTGTTGCATGTTTCTTGTGTGGCATCTTGCTAGGACGATTTGTGCAGAGTCGGCATGTTGTGATGCCCGAGACGTTGAGAATTGTCCGAAGGCCAGAAACAAGCTTTGCACTCGGGGGACAGTAGTTGATTGAACGTTTCTCATCCGAGGCTACGATTCGGACCATGGCCGGGGCCGACTGAGGTGAGGTGATGGATGTAGAGGGGAGCGGCCGGCAAAGATACGGAGCTGAGCCTCGCTTCCGCATGAGGGCTCCCTGAGTATTCCAGAAACATGCCGTATGCTATTTTTGAACTGTCTGTCCTGGATCGACAATTAGGCACCCGTATTCTCGTGTCACCCACAAACGAGGGATTCAGATAGAGATTCCCAGGTTCCCAAAAACACACGAACCAACCTTATTTCGAGGTCAAGACAGCCCAGCCGGTTCAATCGGTCCAGGGTCGAAATGTTGTTACCTTCGCTTGTTGGTGCGCTTCCAGAGCCTGATCGACGACAAGGGAATCTGAA